TTTCCTTTCCTGAAGGGTTCGCTGTGTTGCTTTAGCAGGCCCCTTGGGATACAGTAGGGACGTTGTTGCTGACCTCACTCGTTCACCTTCAGGAAAGGGCTGAGGACTCCTTCAGGGGAAACATCGCTGTGTCCATGTCGGGTTAGGTAAATATGCCGCGTGAAAATAAACCCCAGTTGCGTCAGCAAGCCCCAGGACGCTGGATCTCTCCCCGCACTGGTGGGGTCGTCGCAGACTTCCTGGTGGCACTCTCCTACATCTCGTTTCCTATCAGAGCCTTCAAACGGTTCCGTATATCACCATCGAGGGAAAATTTTACTTACATGTTTAGGGCCATGCCGTGATCATAGAACATCATACAGAAATAAAAGTGATGTGGCGTGCAGTGTTTGCCTGTAATGTCTCTGTGGGTTGTATCATTAGGGAAATATCCAGTTAAAGGCAAAATTGGTGTTAAAGTAAATATCAGTTAGTAAGTAATTAATTAAGCATGTAAATGTTTTCCTTTATTGGGGAATTTATGTTGTCTTGGGTATTGCATGATGTATACAAAAAGACTGTTGATCATTGACCCGATGTATTTTTTAACTGCCTTCTGGCAGATTCTCCTGGAAGGGTAAATTTTAGGTTTTTAATGGTGTTTTTATTTAGAGATAAATATGTCCTTTTATTCTAAACCCCTTGCTTTTCTTAACCTTCCGTATTATGTTTACATTATTTGAAGGTATGTTTTAAGCCTTGCAAGTGAATCTGTAGAATGTTTCTTCTATTTCCAAGTGTCATTTCACTGCTTGATCACCTTGCTGTGGCCCCTCTGTGCACACAACTGGCTTACGTTAAATGCCTGGAAGAGCATTGCTTTGTGCTTCTGGATGGGCCACATCCCCGTAACTAATTACCAATAACCATTTTGTGCTGTGTAATGTTCCGAAGGGCTTTCAGGGGAGAGAGGTAAGCATTGCTAGGGCAAGCCTCCCAGCTATGCAGCAAGAGTAAACCCTGTTTCATGGAAGTTTAATTTATTTCACCATTTGCTGCTCCATCAGAGTCCTAATCTGACAGCCTCCCATGCTGGCATCTGCACTTTGAAGCCAGTGCATCATTGCACAGCGGTCTGTGAAGCATGATTCATGAATTGTGGGTAATTCCAAGCTTCCAGGGAAAAGCGTAGGCAAGACCTTCCAGTGAAGTCTTCTGAATAATTTTAGGTCTCCTATGTTAAATTTTTAAATGAGGAGATTAAACAAAATGACTACTACATCTCCTTCTAATTATTCAGTTATCTGATTTTTTGTGGCACTAGAGTGGCTAACATGCCAGTCAGACCAGATGAACTTATTTATATATTCATTTATGAATTTATACATCCATCTGTCTATCATCTGTATGTCTACGTACATATCTATTACCTCCTTGTATCTATTTTATATTAGGCTCAGAGACTGTGAAGGCTCACAAAGAAATATTACGATGATCTTCTGTCTTTAGAAGCTCTTGATATATTTGCCCCCAAAAGTATGCCACCAAATGTTAAATTAAAAAAAAATAATATATATGGATTTCCTTTTCTCTGATCACTTTCTGGTTGTTGATTTTCTTCGTAACTTCTGTTGAGGCTCACGTGTGGAAGGGTTTTTCAAGGGTTTTTCAAAGATATATTTCAACATGGATACTTGGTCATAGATAGTGCTCTTAACCAAAACATTATAGAAGCACTTATAACATGACTGAGTCAGTGATGCAACTCTGTTTTACTCCGTTCCTCATCGTGCTGGGTTGGAAAAGGCATGGCGTGCCGTGATGTGAGGAGCCCAACTTTCTGCATGCTTTGGTACCCAAATTTCCTGATGTTGTGGAATGCTCTTGTGAAACTTAGGAAGCAATATATGGATGTGCTTCTGTCTTCCCATGTCTCTTGAATATGGAAGGAAGCCAACTGGCTACTTGGGGAAGTTGTGGTTTGATGTTGCCTTGTGGTTTTAGGTGTGGGCCATGGATAATGATGGCTAGAAACTTATATAGGGAGTATGGGGCCAGATTCTGCATGGCAGTAGCGAGGCTTGCTCACTGTGTCATGAAGGTTTTTGAGACAGGTGAATATCATAGATAAATTTATCTATCTATATCATTTGAAGCATTCCAAGCTAAGACTATAAGGAGATTGACATTTTCCATTCATAACATTGCCCTGCCTGAGAACCTTGCATCAGTTTCTGGCTCTGTTCTGTTGCCCCTGTCCGTGTCTGCTCTGCGTAATCTGGGACACGTGTGCTAGTGAAATGCAGAAGAGTCAGTAATCTCAGAGACTTTATTCAGTGGTTAACCCTGATTGCTGGTGTACGCAGGTCACGCCCTGCAGGTGAACCTGATGTGGCTTTGTCACCAGGACCAGATAACCCCAGAGACCAACGGCTTTGCAAATGTGGAGCGTAAATTTTGCAGAAGCTGTCTATCAGGGCTTGCGTTCCTCTCTCCCACATCTCAAAGATGTCCCTATTAGTGTCGTGTTAGACATCACAGATGTCCTCTGAAACTATAATTGAGCTCTTCTGCCCCTTAGCTTTGTGTAAGTGATGCCTTCCTACCACGCTGACTGAACAGTGAGGTGCAGAGGCCCCTCCACGCATCCTTCCGGTTAGTGTAGGCCGGCAGGTGCTCGAAGTGCAGTCAGTCACTCAGATGCTGGCCTCTAAGCCTTGGTTCTTGATGGGTGATGTAGAGCGTTTACCAGAATTGAGTTACACATTAATGAAAGCATTCTGAGTATTCAGAGAATTTCTATTAAAATTTTTCATCATGCTCTTTTAGAACTAGAGAAACTTCAGAAGAGTGAGGCTTATGAAGGAAAACCAAAGATGAGAAGGGTAATGAAACTACAGTGTTTAAGAGTTTTTTGTCCCTTTACTAATTCATAAGATTCATTACCTGAAATACACACTTTTAATTTTTGCAGTATGTTGCCTTAATACTTACCAAGTAATGCCATGGAGACTTCCCTCACCCCTTCATGGCCCCCTCTGTGTCTGTTCTGTTTGTAAGTTCACACCCATTTGCTGAATAATAGCAGCTGTCACATTAGACTTAGTTACAACTAGGTTGTTTCCATTTTATTCGGGAAGAAAAGATGATTGCCAAATTAATACAGATAATTGGGTTGATAACCTTATAGTGGGAGATTATTAAAAAATCAAAGACCCTCTGTATTTTAAATTTTAAAATTCTTATACTTATCTAAATTACAAAAAGCAATCCCATCCTTTATAGAAACGTGGGAACTCAGAGAAGTACAAAGAAGAAAACTAAAATCACTGTTGATCCTCTTATACAGAGAATATATTACTTTGATTTATTGCTTACAGTTCTTAATATGTGTGTGTAATGATGTAGAAATACATATGCTAATTTAAATACCTACTTTAAAATGAACATGTAGTTTTATATCCTCCGTTTTTAAACTTGATATTATATTACTGTTAATGTGTTATAATAGTTTCCACTTTTTTCCAGTTTTATTGAGAAACAACTGACGTTCAGCTCTGTATAAGTTTAAGGAGTACAGTGTGATGGTTTGATACATAGATATTGTGAAATGATTACTATAACTGGTTAAGCTAACATCTCTCTTCTCATATAGAAACAATAAAAAGAAAAGAAAGGGAAAAAAGGAAACAACTGTTCTTGTGGTGAGAGCTATTAGGATTTATACACTTAACAACTTTTCTATTTATCATACACAAGTGTTAATTATAGTCATCACATCATATATTACATCCCTAGTATTTATTTATCTTATAATTGAAGTTTGTACCTTTTGACTACTTTCCTGTAATATCTCCTTCTCCCCATTTTCCACCTCTGGTGAAAAGTATGATTTCTCTCTATAAATTTGTTCATTGTTTGCTCATTTTAGATTCCACATGAGATTGTACAGTGCGTGTCTTTCTCTGTCTGACTTCTTTCACTTAGCATAATGCCTTCGAGGTCCGTCCCTGTTGTCACATAGTAAGATTCCTTCTTTTTATGGCTGAATAACATTCCCTTGCATATGTATCTCACATCTTCTTTATCCACGCATCCATCAGTGGACACCGAGGTCTTTTCTGTGTCTTGGCTCTTGTAGATAATGCTGCTGTGCGCATGGCGGTGTAGCTATCTTTCTGTGTTAGTGTTTTCATTTCCTTTGGATATATTTCCAGAAGTGGAATTGCTTAATAGTTTCCACTTTTTTACTTTAAAAACAATAATCAATGTGATAAATGTGTTTATACATAAGTCTTCCTAGGATAGGTAATTTCAACAGTTTTAAGGCTTTTGATACATGCTTCTGCAATGTCTGAACTGATTTTTACTGTTAATTTACAATGGCTCTTATTTTACTTAAATTACACTAAAATTTACTTTATAAAAATGAGCAAAGTACTTTCCTATTTTGCCATTCATTTTTATTTCTTAATGAGGACATTTTTATGAAAGTTTTTTTAAATTTTAGAAACAAACTTTATTAGATTGAAGGAATGAATAATTAGTAAGTTTGTCTAAATGTTGAAGAAGCAATTAAAATGATATGATATCTGACAACTTCTTTAAAACTTTGTATTTTGATGGGAGTTTTACCCAGATATAAGGGGGAGAAAGAATTTGATTGAATATAACTAGCTGAAAAATGAAATTTAGATTGTAAATAAAAAATATTTTAGCTGAATATAACTAGCTGAAAAATGAAATTTAGATTGTAAATAAAAAATATTTTATTTTTAAGAACTGGAAAATCAATGTATTGACGATTATCATCTTCAGTGTATTAAAGAATATTATTTTATTATTACAAGAAATTTGGAAACACTTGAATTTGTTATCATTCATGGTGGAATTCACTATTTTTCTTTTAAAAAGAAAACCTCATCTGTGGAATATAAAAACAAAACTCTATATAGGAATCCCAGGTAATGCTGACACAAATACCTAACGTTTGCATTATCTCTTTGCTTTTCCTTCTTTAGGACATCCAGGCAGAAATTGATGCCCATAATGACATATTTAAGAGTATTGATGGAAACAGGCAGAAGATGGTAAAAGCATTGGGAAATTCTGAAGAGGCCACTATGCTTCAGCATCGACTTGATGATATGAACCAAAGATGGAATGACTTAAAAGCAAAATCTGCAAGCATCAGGTCAGAATAATCCATATTAAAATAAAACTAATGGTGCGGGAGAGTCTGATTCTTGTATTTGAGTCAGAGAACCAGCAGTCCTATGATCATGCACCTTCCTCAGACATACTCTAAGGTTTAAATGCGAAGACTACTTTTCTAAATTTCTAGTTTTAGCTCCATGTCAGTGCCCTCTGCCAGCTGTTCTTGATTATTCACAGATTTGCATATCATTTCAACCAAATAACACTAATAATGATGTTACCAACACCTGATTGCTATCATTTACCTTGACTAAGTACCATGTTAGGATCATTGCAAACATTATTTAGTACTCAAAAAATTCTTGTCGGTAAATAGTAAAATCCTTTCTTAATGTGAGGAAATAGAGGCTTAAGGAAAGTGAGGAGCTTGCCAAGTGTTTGAGCTAACCAGTGCCAAGCCAGGATTTGAATCTGCATCTTTTGGACTCTTGGCAATGAACATGTTTCGCTTCATGATGCTGTTTGTATTTCCAATTGGAATTACATATTCCAAGAAATTAAATATTGCTTATGGACACTAAAGTGGAAACCTGATGATGCATGTCTGCATTTGAAGAGAATAAAATTCAATAAGGACGCATTTGAGGATTAGAATCCTGACTCAGAGAGGACCTTGGAAAAATACCTACTGTGACAATTATTAATGTTAGAAGTCAAGAGGAGTTTAGAATTATATTTAACAAATAGTGAATATAAGTTTAGGGGAAACTGAGTTTATGTTACTGAGCAAAGATCCAAAAGAAAATATTGGGAGAAAGACCAAGATCTTGTACCTGCATCAGTTTTTTTTAAAGTTCAGAAGCTGTATGATATATTGAAAAATGTACAATTTAAACCATTTGTACTTTTGGTTTACACTTTTTAGCTTTACTATGTATTTACTGGTTTTGAGCAAGTCATTTAGTCTCTCTGAGCCTTAGTTTTCTCATTTACAAAATCAAAATATAAATGTTTAATTTATGTATTTGCTGTGAAGTTTGAATAAGATAATCTGATAGTTCCTTAACCTATGTCAGGCCTATTCGGAGTAGCATGCAGTTGATTTCATTTTGTTTTACTTTTTACATCATGGGGCTCAGTAAATATGCTTCAAGGACCTTCTGGGTTTCATAGAACTAGTTATAGAGAGTGGGAATCTGCAATGATTGTGATTGTGAATTAATTTTTCTTCTGAAGAGGTGTCCTACAGGTTTTTATTTTTCTGGAGCTCATAGAAGGGGATTTGCGCTTCTTTTCACACTTAAAGAAGGGGGCACTGTAGCATGACCATGGAGGCCTCAGTAGAAAGACCTCATTGAAAATCATGTCAGTATCGGCCAACTGCATTTTTTTAATAACAGGGACATTCTGGAGTAGTGTGCGGTGAGAGAATATACTTATGCTTGTTGAAGACTGAATTTTCAACTGGCCATTTGGTTGCACCTTTCTATTCCCATAAATATAAATAAGTAAAAAAGACTTAAAATGTTAACACAGACAAGCATTCACCACCAAAGTTCTAGCAAAAACAACATTAGTGTAAGGAGCTAAAAGCCAAAGGGGTGGTCCTGGTGAAAGTGGTGCATGTGGGGCTAGATTCTGAGAGTCTGAGGATGAGTTCTTCAGGACGGAGAGCTTCCTGAAGGCCCACGTCATGGACAGATCGAATGGTAAGCTGCAGAAAAACAGCAACAACAACAAAATCAAAACCTTTGACACTGCATGGGTGGTATTGCCTAAGCCTACCAAGTATGTCATTTTTTTCTAACCTGGAAAGAGATAACTCATAAACTTCAGTTGGAATATTGTCTTATACATAGCTTAATGCTATTTTTAGAAGACGGGAGAATAAACGTTGCCAGTGGACTTCTGTGTCGTGATAGATCATGTAGTCCAGTAAAAAATGTGTGATTAATGTGATGAGGAATTAAAATAATTTTTAGCTTCATTACTCACCTCTGGAAATTCAGGCATTGATTCAAGCATTTAATAAGAATGAACTTCTAATTTGAAGCTTTGCTAACCATAAATAAGATATGGCCTCTTCCCCTATGGGGTTGGCCGTTTTGTCCAGGTTAAGATGCTCCCTGTGGAGGGAGTGGTTATGCTCATTTCAAACCATCAGTAAAGGCTTTATGACAGAGGCAGTTCTTAAGTTGTACCATAAAAGATGTACAGTTATTCCTCAGATGGACTGGGTGAGGACCGGAGAAGGGCTTCTAGGCAGGAAGCTTAAAGTAACACTGTATTTTCATGGAAGAGTTAAGATGTTCAGTCTGGCCAAGAATAGAATTTAATGTTGGTGTAGAGAGGAAAGACTGTGGCTAGAAAAAAAGGTAGAGAGAAAGGTACGACGTAAGTCCTGGAATACCTGTGTGTACCACGCTCCATTCCACTGGTGACAGAATTTGAACACTTCTAGGTGACATAATCAGATCTGAGTTTGCCAAGATCCCTCCCACACGACTATGAGGATGCATTAGATGAGCACAGTTCTGAAGACAGGGAGACTTGTGCAGTGACCTTTTCAGCATTGAGGAAAGGAGAGAGAGACTGAATAGATACTTAATTCATGCTGTCGAGGAACTGCCAAGACATCTAGAGACAAATAACCAGGAGCCACTGGATGGGGATCTCTTCAAAAGAGAGCCATAGGCCAAATGATGGTGGGACGGGGAGTCTCCAGACAGAGGTGGCAGGAAAGCATTGTGGGTAGGCAAGAGGCTGCATGATGGAAGAGGCCACAGCATGGGATCCCAGGCGACCCTGATACATAAGGAACAGGGGAAGGAAAGGGAAACCAGCAAGGAACTTGAGAAGGGGCTGTCCTTGCGGAGCGAAGAGGCCCTGGAGAGTGTTGTCAAGAGACAAGGGGAGGGGTTTTGAAAAGGAGGCTCAGTTAATAGTGCTGGCTGCTCGAAGAAGCCAAGGAAGATCAGGGCTGCAGAGCCCAGCTCTAATCAAAGACGTGGGTGACTTTTTTGCCAGGGCCATTTTGTGGTTGAGACAGAAATCTGATTGCGGAGGACTGGAGAGTCAGGCTGGGAAGTGAGGCAGCGGGAATGGAACTGAGTGTACGTAGTCTCTCTTTCTCAGGTCGCTGCTCTGACGGGAAGTGGGAGAGAGAACACGTTGCTCTGACTATGGGCGTTACACATTTATGACAGCTGGCAAGCTGCACCTATCTCTGCTTTCGTACAGATGGGATATTTTTAATGTGATGAGTGATAGTTTCATTTTTATCTTCAAAAAGTGGATGTAATAAATTTCATGAACATATTCAACATTGCTTAGGCGTTTATACAAGATAAAGCGGTTCATTATGCTCAGTAGTGGGCCTCCTACAGGAAGCGCGCCTCAGGGCGATGTCGGGGAGGACAGTGTTTCCTAATGTCATACTCTGGAGCTACACTGCCTGGGTTCAGACCCCGGCTTTGCCACCTAGCTGCTGTGGCACCGCGGGCAGTTTACTTAGTCTATTAGTCTCACTGATTACCATTCTGGTTGGCACTGATCTGTTCAAAAGACACAGAAATTCTCTCTGCCCTGTCTTTTTCTATCTTTATTCACTAATCCTGGGAATTTCTGAGAAGGTCCCCAGCAAGGCTTGATCCCGAACAAATACAAACCAAAAGTGTGGCCAGAGAGAGTAGCAATGCCTGTGAGTTACCGACAGACCAAGTTGGAGGACAGAGCTGAGAGTGAGAGCTAAATGGGACTGTTCACCGGCCTTCAGAATGAGGCAGGAATTACGAGCAGTCATGGTTCAAGGTGGCCTCCAGAGTGAGAAACCCTGCATGGAAGAATAGAGAGAGAACTTGGTATATGCAGACCCATTCTCCAGAGTTAAGGGTGGGTGGAGCTTAAGCACCTCCAGTGATTCCCAGATTTGCAAATCAGATTCCTCACTCCACCTCTACAGGTACTGGGGGAGGAAAGGGGCAGAGAAGAGGCCAGGAGTGTGCTTGGTGAGAAAATCCCTCCCCAACGCGGGAAGTGTTCTCAACAGCAAACTTACAGAGACAGCCTATCTCCCAGCCACCTGGCCCCTTCCTTCCTTACCGACAGTGACGCCTGTGGAGCACACTGTGAATTTCTGCTTCTCTGTTCTTTCCTCTCATTCCTTTAAAGCACAGTCTACCCTTAACACTGGCTTCTCTTGAGAACAACATCTGTGTCTTTAACATTTCTGTAGGGTCTTCCACCACTTTTCTTTATAATTGAAAGCTGGCTTTCCTCTTAATTGTCTGCTTTACTTAAACTTAATTAAATTTAAGTGTAATTTGCCAATTTTTCTCACCTGGCAGTCATTGGGAATATCCTGCATATTTAACAACAGCTATGGATACCAAACAATCAGAATACCAGCCATAAGCTTGCAATGTAGCACCCGCAGGCACATTGGCTGAACAGGAGCCCTGCCACACAGCTGATAACAGAGAAAGTAGCAGCCTCTTAGCTATTTCTAGGACATGGCTTCTCTCTCTGTCAACAGCTTCCCCTTAGGAGTGAATACATCTAGCTCTGACCAGAGTAGCTCAGTTGATGGGGGGTCATCCCATAGAGTGAAAGATCACTGGTTCAATTCCTGGTCAGGACACGTGCCTGGGTTGTAGGTTCCGTCCCCATTTGGGGCACCAACAGATCGAAGTTTCTCTCTCTATCTCATATAGTTGTTTCTCTTCTTCTTTCTCCCTCCCTTCCTTTCTCTCTAAAAATACATAAATAAAATCTTACACAAAAGAAGTGAATACACCCATTATTCTGCCTTCTCACCATCTAATTCCTATTTCTTCCTGATCTGCAGAAAACACTTCTACTTTGCTCATTGATTTGAGCATCTGACTTTTCTTTCACTCTCCATCTTTTCTGCATTTATCATCTTGGTGTCGATATCCATATTGATGACTTTTTATATTTTTCCTTGCAGGTTTCTTTTTTAACTTTATAAAAGTCTTTATCCCTGTTCTAAGTCCCGTAGACATGGCCATACCTGAG